CCGGGCTGTCGGCATGGGCCAGCTCGCGAACTGTCCACTCGCCGTAGCTCTGCGGGATCTCATACCCCTTGAATTTCCCGATCTTCATGAGTTCTTGATCTGGGGTATTGAGCGAGTCCCTTATCAGGCGGAGCAAATTGCCTTTGGTAGTCGTGTTGGCATAGTCGATCCCAACGCAACTCCGGCATGTTCATGTGCGAGATCCGCTTCATCCTCTCCGTGGGGTCGGCGTTCTTCGCGGCCTCCCTCGCCTCCATGATGCACGCCTTGATCTCCGTCACCCCCCAGCTGTGGTGGACGAGCACTCCCATGCGGTTGGCTTCCTCGAGAAGCTGGGTCTTGGACATATGGTTGATGGGGCGAGGCTTGCATGGCTCCTCTTCCATGTTCGCAAGGAGTGCGGAGAGGGACGCTAGGGGCTTTGCGCTTGGCTATCCAAGTTCTTCCGACCCAATGAAATTCGAAAGCGGGCTCACTGAGTTTGTCATGCTCCCACCTATCAATCACGGATTCAAGCCATCTACCGGATGTGCAACAAACGCCATCTGTGACCCTGATCTCCCCGGCAGTCTGAACAAGCATCTCCTTCTGCACTGTAGCACGGGTTCTCCAAGTCGAAGGATTGAAGAGGACTTTGCGGGGGGTAACATGGATCCTTACCCAAGCGTGCTCGCACTCTACCCAAAAGTCAGAAGTAGTTGAACAGGTGCTCCACCATGCTAGAAACTCATCTTGAGGTAATCTTTCTCGAACAAGCATGGCTCTGACTCCAGGATCTAGCTTCTTGTCATAGAAGAAGTTATACAGCTCCCTGCTCTTAACATGCCCTGCACTGTGCGCAACTGCAAACGCAATGTATTCACTCTTGGGCACAAGCTTCAAGTCCTCGGCCTGAAAGGAGCCTGGATCCCCGTCCATTTTGGTCGGTAGGATGGGAATGGCTGGATGCCCTGAGAAGGTAACGTGGAGGTCGAACCCTTTTAGCCCGACCTTGTTGAAATCGGCTTGCCCTCTCTCTATGTCGAAGACCATGCCGAGCTTGCCGAGGACGGTCCTGGAAAGAAGAAGAGGAACATGCCGCCCGCATCCAGAACAGAAAGACTTCGCCTTCATCAGCTTGATTTTCTCATTGGCCTTGCCGGGGTGGACGGTCTCGCCCTTGCTCTCCGCGTGGTAGCTATTGAACCCGCGGCTCTTCTGGTGTTCTTTGTACTTCTGCTTCGCGGTCTGGTAGGTCGCGTAAGCAACGGCAACCTCTTCTGGCACTCCGGTCTCGCCATCCTCGTGGTCGGGGTCGTCGTCCTCGGAGTCCAAGAGGTCGTCGTTCTCGGTGAAGTGGGCGGTATGAGGTCTCCGCCCTTTTCCTGAGCCCCCAGACTCCCAAGGTTTCCGATGCCCCCGATCATGAATGACGGCTGCCTGTTGTAGTCGAGGAAGCGAGTAGGTGTTTCCAACACTTGCAAGAAGATTCAACCCTAGGCTTCCGAGAAGCCACTTTTTAGAAGCCAAAATTTTGGAAGCTAAAATTGTTGGCTGGCAGCTTGTTTTTTAGCTTCTAGGTTAAAACAGCAAAACAAGCTTCCAGGAAAAAAAAAAGGGCTTTGAAAGCCAAAAAATTTAGCTTCTGGAAGCCAAAATTTTTGGCTTCTAAATGGCTTCTAGAAGCCAAAATTAGCTTCTAGAAGCCAAAAATTCT